TAAGCGATTTTTTTTAGAATAATGAAATGTAGTACGAGATATTATAACTAAAGATAAAATTTCATTTAACCCAAACTATTTCCATAAATCTGCATATGCATACATATATATTAGTACAATTTTGGCTGTTTTATTGAAATCTTTCAAACTTATGTCTTGATTACCAATATTTTTCATAACCTACAAAAATTACCCAAAAACAAAAAATTTCCCAAAAAGGGATATTTAAATTTTACTTGAAGTACCTCTTAAAAAACCTCAATTAACAACTCTTAGCCAGAACTTACTATAACTACGCACAAAATAAAAATTACTCAATAAAGGGATTTTTTTTTTTATTTATCAATATACAATATATTCATCAATTTAGTCAATATAAGTTTCCTTTCAACTTATTAAATAAAATATACGACTTTTCCAGAAATTTTTTGTGTTTAGTTTAAAAGTGAGCGGTAAGTGCTAGTAAATTGTGTGAAACATAAAATAATTATACAAAACAATCCTAAAAAGTGTTTAAATTTAGAAAGTTACGAAATTGTCTCGGTCTAAATAAACATATCACAAAGGTCGTTGGAAATATGTTGTATATTTAAATTAGTGACAGCAAAATTGTCCTCAGTCTGAAAATTACTATAAGAGCTTAAAAACTACTTTAAATAATTTATGAAAGTGTAAAAGATTTCAAATATCCAGACTCCAAAACCATGACACATGGGTATTACGTCATAGTCTTAACTGGGTTAGTGGATTTATATCAGAATTTTAGGTTAGGTTTTCCAAATGAAAAATGTTTAGTTACAAAATATTTAGGATATTACGTACTTCCAAAAATAATTATGGTATTATTATCCGAATGAGAATAAACAAGCTTTATTGTAAATTTAACTGTTTTGGTATAAAAAAATATATTTTTTTTAAAAACACCCCTATTTTGTAAATATCCGTTCTATAAAAAATTTGCTTAACAAAATAAATTAAATATTCATTTGCATTTTTTGTTTAGCTTAATAAAATATTTGTAGAGATATATATACAAAATTTCTTTTGTACGTCTTGATAAAAAATATCCCTAAAGAGGTAAATTTTGTTTCATTTTATAGTTTATTCTTAATTGCAGTTCATAAACAGATGTTAAGACAATTTTAGTTTATTTTTCACATGATTTACCTTCATTTAGATTTATTAAATTCTGAGTTTTCAAATTTAGTTTTAGTTTTAAACTATTTAATGTTTGTTAAAAATTTCCCCAATTCATCATTTGCTTTAATTACAATGCTTAACTTATAAAAATAAATTTCCAATTATTTCCTCCACTTCTGTTTACTTTTTTTAACTACACCTCGACCATTTTTTCCGCTCGCATTATGGAAAAAAATTGCATTTAAAATGAAACGCCGAAATGAATTTTTCCACGCTTTAATTAACTTTATGACAAATGAACACTAAAATATGCATGCATTCAATTTTAACCCTTCAAGCAACATTAGCCGCTACACACTTACATTCGTCTAAATAACTCGTAAATTTTTGAGTGAGTTAATGAAAAATTCATAAGAAAAGCCACAAAGACTTAAGTGGAAATCAGCTTAAATGGGAACGAATTTTTTGTTGTTATTTTCAACAAATATATGCTAGGGTTATGCAGTAAGGTTTTGAGGTGGCTAAAATGTGATTATTAAATTCGAATGAGCTCGAGTGTGGGGGGTGTGTAATAATCCTTGCTGAAGTGCTGTTGGTTCAGAAGGAGATTAATGTGACTGAAAGTATTCGCTGGCATATAAGATATTAAAAAAAATGTTTTAGAGTACAAGAGTCAAAATTGTATTCAGTAGCGAAGTGCCTACAAACCCTGTAGAAAAATGATATGTCTATGAAATCTTCAAAATATTAAAAGTCCAAGCTCTACTATAGAGTCGTTATACAGACGCATATTGTATATTAGAAAAATTATTTTGGAATAGAGAAACCATAATTATATTTCGTAGTAAAGTGCCGAACATCCCTTTGGGGAGTAGTAAATGTGAATGAAACTTTAAATTTATTTAAATTCCTGTCCTCTTATAGAGTACCTAGACAGGGGTATACTAGATATTAAAAGTACTTCTAAATAAGGAAATCCATATTTTATTTAGTAATGAAATGTATAAGATCCCTGTGAGGAGTATTTGAGGTCAGTGTGACAATATTTTGTTTTTGTTTTCAATTTAAGTTCTATGGTAGCGCTTTGCAAGACTCAAAATATTTAAAAATTAAACAAATATTCATTTCATTTAGAAAAGCATAAAAGTGACTGAAGAAACTAAGCATATTCAATGGGTATTAAAGTCAAGATTTTAAAATACTTGTACATACATTTAAATTAGTAAATAATGTATACGAAATGATTAATAATTCATTTACTGCTAATATTTTTAGAAGCTCATCACTTGTCTTTGCCGTACTTGATTTCCTAGATAGCCTCTTTAAGTTAGTTAGTCAGTAGTTAAACTCAACTCGTCATTTCCTGTGCTCACATTTGTTTGTAATGAAAGCAAGACTCAAAATAATGATTTTTCATATGTGAAATACATACATATATAAATTGAAATTAAGTTTCATACATACAAACAATATTTTTGTATAATTGTCCAGCTCAACAGTAAGGAGAAATGCCTATACGCATATCAGTATGTTATGAAAAAGCAGCAAATCATTTTATGTTGATTAATTTGCATATGAAATGTTGCACACCCAAATATAATTTCCGGACACAACATAAGTTGACTCACTCCAAAGAGAATAAAAGGGAAAATGTTTAATGGTGGAATAGAGAGAAATATACAAACAAATGAGGGATATTTCTGACTGTCATTAAGATATGTATGTAAATAAGTATACATATATGTAGTTAAGATATATATATATATAATCATATTCGTATATTCAGTGATGACGGTAGCACATCTAAGGGTAGTAACCACACCAAAAGTTGGATTATCCATAAAAAGGTACAAAAATATCAAAACAATGTACAACAAATGCCGACACACAGCGCGCTAATTTCACAGAAAACAAAATAAACTACAAAGTTTTACCCTTCACGCGCATTACTGCCGAATGCTGACATATGCTAACCACTGTTGCATACTTTTATGCGCGAATGCATAAAATGGAGCACCTTTCTGCCCAACCCTGTGACTGTAAAGACATTTTGTGCCGCTTGTTAAATGCGTTTTCCGTGTCATCACTGCTGAAACAAGTTACGCCTACTTTTGCACCAGCGCCTAGCACTCTGCGAGTCTCAACTTGATAGAATTTTGTTTCTACATAAACTCCGCTAATATATTTTCAACCCTTTGTTGTTGATATTCTTGCCAAACTTGTACACTTTGCTCATTTTTTCGCTGTGTAATCATTATATTGCAATGATATTTCAAACATAAATATACACAAAAATTGTATAAATAAGCTACTGCGCCCTAAAGCTTGCTAGACATTAGCTAATTTGCGCTCGCTTCACAGCGACAAGCACGCAAGTATGCATTTTTTCGGTAGCAAGTGCACAGTTGGCTATTGTTTGTCAGCAATTTGCGTTGCAGTCGTATTTTGAAGCATTTCGGATTCACATTGGTTGATTTTCGCCATTGAGACGAAATTGTTATTGTTCTTTTTTTGATTGCCTTCACGTTTTTCGCAAATAATTGCATGCAGCAATCACATGACGGCGTCGTTAGTCTTCTAGCAGTCGGCAGTACCACAAAAGAGGTCTCCAACCACAATAACAATAAACAAATAAATATAGAAATTGACATATGCTGGCAAAAAAAATAAAAATAAAAAAAATAAAAACAAAAACAACTGCAGCGGTACATACATTCCCGTTTGGGCGTCGTCGTTAACTGTCTGCACGCGATTTTTGAGTGCGTTGCACGTCATTGCCTACACCCTCACCGCTACTACACAAGGCAATTGGCCTAACCTTTGCCTTTGTTGGCTCAAGTACTTTGGTTGCTTTTGTATTTTGTTCGCTGCTTGCTTTTACTGCCCCCTTAACGACTTAAATTACAATTTTATTAAGCACACGAAAGGCGCTCTGATAGCGCTTAATGTCTCGAATTCGCATTATTGGCGCCATTTGGGCGCATTGCTCGCCGTGAGGTGGTTAAATAATACAATATATGGCAACTATTTATCGTATAAGCGAAATTAAGTCATAAAAATATGGAAAGTAGTTCACAAAGGCTTTATAAGAGAATTTACCCCTCCTTGAATCAGAGTTTCAAAGAGAGATAGAGTATAAAAGAAAAGCAAGAATCTGGATCGATAAAAAATAAGTACTAAGCACATGAGGTGGAGCTATTAAGATGAACATACCAAGTCAACTCCCACATCGGTAAAGCTAAATTGAGCAAAACTCACTTCTAATTACCAAACAAATACTTACAACCCAAGACGCAAACACATAGCAGCTTAGCAGCGTTTCCCACCATTTGCTATGTTACCATTTTTAGGAAGATTATGGTAAAGGCGAATTGTACTTTCTTAAATGACAAGAAGTTATAAAATTCTTTGGAAAAAACATAGTCTCAATTTAAGAAAAACTATTTGAAATGCCAAAAGTAAGAAAAATCATTCAAAAGATTTCGACAATTATTAAAAATTTTGGATTAAAGCGAAATAAAAAACAAAACAGAGGTAATTCAAGTACTTCTTGATATCGCAATAACCCCTTGTTCTGTTACACCAATAATTCCATAAACAAAGTAATCGAAGTCAAGGATTTATTAATTTTGTCAAACAAATAGTTAGTCGTTTACTCATAAGCCTAAATTTCAGCGAAAAACCCTGAATTAGATAGAAATTCTAATGAATCACTATAGACTAAAAATGAGAGCGAGGCAACTATAAAAATTATAGCATGCACCAGAAAAACTGTTTAGAATTCACATATTATTAATTAAATATAATACTACTAACAAATATATTTTTCGACTATAAATATATGGTAATAGTAAACTCACCTTCCCACGGACAACCGACAATTTCGGCACGTAGACACACCGTTCGATCATACTGTCCATACGGATAAATACGAATTTTTGACGCAAAAATTATCGGTTGCAACAAGTTCTCCACCTCACTGTAGGTATTGATGTTGCCGGACAGGATCTGAGAACGATATTTTGGGAAAGAAGAAAATATATTTAATTAAATCGAAATAATTATTATGTAAAGATGAGAGAAAATGGTTATTATATAGGTTATATTGGCCGTCTCAACAAATCTGTGATCGGCTCTAGAGATTATGAGAGGCTTTATGATATATTTTATAGGAGTTAGAACAACAGACCGGCGTTATAAGCTGTTCAAGTGAAATCCCTATTAGGATCGATCAGTTAACATAACCTAACTTAATCTACGTACTATAGGTGGAGTTTAAGAAACGAAGCTTTTCGAAAATTCTCGGTCACAATTAAAGAGCTTTATAAAAGTGAATTAATAGATCTTTATCAGCTATCGAAACGTACTATAATTTGTAGATTTTTTCGTCAAGGATGAAAACCAAGTTTCACTAATATACAAATTGTACGAAAAATAAATTACTATGGGGATGCTCGGTTTATACGAAATAAATTAAAATTTCAAATGTTTTTAGTAGGAATTTTTGCAAATAATCTTGAGTTAGCGCAATTTTATCACGACTTTTAAATATCCATTTGATTGCTTAAACCATAGTCAATCACAATTGTATACACAAATATCATAATTTTTTTCATAAAACTAAATATTTCTAAAATCCACTTTTCATAGTCACCACTCACCTCCTTTCCTTGCGTATTCTTCCAACGTTGCCATTTAGTGAAACCCGGTCGCCAATATTCCAGCACATAGGCCTCCGTATATTCTTGACCTTGACCCTTGCCATAGCGACCCTGCGTACGTATCGCCGTAATGACATGTGTTTGTAGCAAGTCGACCTGCAGGTAATCTTTCAACGCGTTCGAGACCATATGTTTGGGGCACCAAGCGCCGCCATTATTATCGGTTTTCAGTCTGCAATGAGCAAAACAAAGAAAAAAATCATTTATAAATGAAGCGGGTGAAATGGAATGAGTAAAAAAGGTGTAAACGTTTGTAGCAAGCAAAATAAATGTTGCAAAGAGGCAGCCAAAAAGGCGATAAAAGTTGTTGAAATAAAATCTGTGCGTTAATTAAAATTTGTGCGAGCCGCCCCAACTACACCATGTGGGTAGCTCCACGAAAGCTTGTGTGTATCTCTACCAAAGCCTGCGTGTGGTTGTTGTTGCACGCAAGTAGCGACAACGGTTTGGCTGTCGGCTGATTGTTGGCCATTGATAAGCATCCGTTGTGCGGCTCGCTACTGTAGCCGCTACTATAAAATATGCGCACAGTAGCAATTGCAAAGCGACTAGCTACCGCTGCCGCCGCCGGGTCGCCCGCCCCTTCCATTTTTTATTTTTGATTGCTTTGGCGGAGGCTGCTTTTAGCTACGGTGGTAAGTAGAGGCAGCAATAGTAGCTGCACTAGTCGTCAGGCTGTAATGAACAGCTACGCTATAATAGCAGCGACAACAACAACAAAAAGTAGCTAAATGTTGCAAAATATCATAATCGAAGTCTTAAGAGCACCAACAGTTGTTGCTGAGTGCATGCAATGCTGTTGTCGTCGTAAAATTTGTGCCATGCAGCACATTGTTCTGACATTTTAATACGCGTGCTATGTGCAACATGCTACAACGCCGACAGCGACAGCAATAGTTATGTAGTTGCTGTTGATTGCTTACTGTAAACCAAACGCGACGATAATAAAGAATATCTCTATGTGTGTATATATACCTATATGCGTGCATATATAAATTAATTGACTTTAAATGACGGCACCACACAGAGCTTGGCATTTGGCGCTTTCGGGCGTAAAATGCATGCAACAACAACAAAAAGAATACGAGCTCGCGAATGTTTCAATTTCAAGTGGCATGGCTTTACTAAAGTAGCAAATTGCACTTTTGCCCAAATGTACATATATATATCTATGTAACTGCTGGCCTATGCAGGCTCTACATATTTTTGATAAGTTCGTTAAGCCAACATCGGCACTGAGACAAGCGACCAGTAAGTAGCAGCAGGATGTTGTCTACGTAATTAAGGATTAATTTAAATTATGTGTTGCAGCCACGGCTTTTTGGCTCCAGCATTGCGTTATTGATAAAAAGCCATTGGTGACCGGATTTAGTAAAGAAATGTGTGTATATTTCTTGTATTCTTATTACAAGTAATGAATAAAGGCTAAGAGCAATACTTCTCAATTAATATCGATTGGCATAAACTACCATTAAAAATTCAATTACCACTATTATTGCTGTTCTTAGTAGCATTACTACTTTAACTTTACTGTTATAATCATAATTACAGTATAACTACAATTAACATTACTTCTCACATTATATTATCGCTTAGTAAAGGCATTATTATATTATGTAGAAAATATTGTATATCATTACATTGTGATAATATCTAAATCCACTATCCATACTAAAAATGAATGTTCTCCTACAATTACTTATTTGACCAACTAACTTATATATGAACAACATGTAGTGAATACCATTACTATTATAAATATAATTACAAATAACCATTACCATTGCTATTTGCATTACTACAGCCTTACGGTAATGCTTTATATCATTGATCTTGCAACAAGTAATACAAATACCATTTGCATTATTATTGTAATTACCGTTACCTATGCTATTAGCATTACTATCGCCACTATTAGTGCTTATGCCTTCATCATTCCAACCATTACCAATACCATTATATACAAGTATGCCATGAAAATTTCACAAATACCATTTATCATTCATAAGCGCTACTCTTCCTATTAGTAACGTCTATACTTTCATTATTCTCAAACACTATCAAAGCCATTATCTATATTAAATTCACGCCACCAAATTCACAAATACCATTTCCATTATTATGCTATTAGCATTGCTATCGCCTCTTCTAGTGCCTATATTTTCACTATTCCCAACCATTACCAATACAATTATCAATACAAATACAATTTAATTACTAGTGAAATGGTTAACTTTATTATTGCTTGTCAATACCCCTGTTGTGCACATACTTCCACCACTCCCAATCGTTACCAATACCATTACCAATGAGATTACCACTGCGATTACCAATACCATTACCATTACGACTGCGATTACCAATACCATTACCACAACGATAAGCATTACCATTACCACTGCGATTACGAATACCATTACAAAACCATTACTTTTGAAATAGTTTAAAATTTCAATCCTTTAACAAAATTTTATTTCAGTTTATCTAGTCACACTATTAGTTAAAGTTTTTAAGCACTGCGGGGTTACACATGCGGCACCACTATGTACGTGTTCGCTTAATTGTCTACATTTGTGGTTACAACGTATTTGCCTATAAGTCGCTTGGCGGTTTTAATGCTCATTTTGAACTAACAATATACCATACTGCTGGCCACCCCTTCATTGCTAACCTGTATGCATTTCATAGATGTTACAAATTTCCTTTTTAATTCGTTGCGGAGGTTGTGCGAAATATGTGTAAATGCTTATCACGGTCATTTATTGTAGTTTTGCCTGCGACAGGGAATATCTTAATATTGAATATATTTGTTGCCAACAAAAATTTAATCAGAAGCCGTAGTTATGGGTGTTCGAATGGTAAAATTTATTCTAATAATACCGTGAGTTTTTTGATGCTTATCATAATTTCAATATTAATAAATAAGTGGCAATGAATAAATTAATTATAAATTCTTAGTAGTTTCCAAATTAAGCTAAGCTCGCTAATCAGTTCGAAAGTGCGGGGGAATATTTATTTTTTTTAATAAAAAATATATATATACTTTCGCTTTAGCTGAAAAATTCGGTAGATATCATTGTATCGTGTAATCCTCTTATCTATATTACTATATTTCTCGTTATTGATAAAATGTAGTATATAAATATATATATATATATATATATATATATGTATACAAATATATATTATACATATTTATACAAACATGTATTAATTTACATATATGTTTTTGCTTATCAATTGATTAACATTTTCCTATGCAACATTTTATCAATGAGCCCCACAGTGACTTCCTGTCGCTTTGATATGTATTGATTGACAACTTATCTTCTTATCCGTCGTAATTTGTCTATCATTATGAAAACGTTATGTAAAATGAAATAGGGGAACAGAGTATTTGCTAATTACTTTTTAAGCCCACAAATATTTATCGAAGATTAGAGATACTGGTAAACACCATGGTTGGTATAAAAAATATTCTACAAAGCATTCTCTTGTTCGGAAACTTGCCGGAAGTGAGTAACATTAACCTTCGAAATAAGAGTTTTTCTTTATATTACAGAGTAATAAAAAAAATTATAAGTAATTTATGGCAGCTTTATTCAAATGAAATTTAGTATATTATACTATTGAAAAAATATACGCCATCAATCTTCGAATGGCTTTTTACCAATTAAGCCATTCTATCAGTCTTCGAATCACATCAAAGTTAAAATTTACTCTATCAACCTTAAAATCACTAATTACTTGAAAACTAACACTATCAGTTTTCCTACCAATAAACCCACTCAATCAAACCTTTTTTTGACTTTTCTTAACGACATTTTTTCAGCTGTCGAAAATTTTAACCTCTTCTTAATTCCACAGAAATAATACCACAAAACGACTCTTAGAAGTTACTGATATTTAACTTTCTAATCTCTATAGGTTCATCAAAGAAAATTCGAAACATTTTCCGAATAGAAATTTAACTAAATCTTTACATTTGTTAATTAGTTTCCTAAAATGTATGAGCCCAAAATTACTTACAGTTACAGGTAATTTTTAAGGCTAATGCGTACCAGATTTATTCGATGACTTATGAGATTATTATTGTTCTAAATTGTCTCTAAATTTGTCTAATTTCGTATAGCATAGTTTCGAAATAAAAGTTGTAAATATTAATGTCCACGCTATGTTTTCGATTAAATCCTCAGTAAAGCTGGGGATCAAATGATCCATATTCAAGCTCTAGTGATATAAGGGGTTATATGCACCTGTAAAATGTGAAAAGCATATATAGAATGTAAGTACATTTGAATATTCTTCGAAAATTTGAAGTTGATCTGGCAAATAGTTTTGGAGATATGAGCGTTAAAAAGATTTTAACTTAGGATATTTGTCCTAAAACTTAAACCGATCAGCTAGAAATTTGCACAAGGCTTTCAGATTTATTTGTCAGGTAATGATCAAAACAATAAAATTTTTGACAATAATTTTCTAAACCTCTCTAAAATGTAAATTTTTTCACCAAAAACGATTTTTTTGGGAAGCCGCGATTTTGTCAAAAATAAAATATTATTATTATATTCATTTAAAATAATAATACATTTTTTGGTTTTTGGATTTGAGATAGTTTTAAGCAGAAAAACCGTCATCAGGAGAGCAAGGGAATCCAAATTTTTCAAAATTAATCGCCCATGATAACACCATGCAAACAAAGTTGTTTTCAAAACTGAAAAAATTATCCCCCGGCCCGGCCGGTGGAGGAGACCCAATTCTCTACCAACATTTATTTTGATTTTTCGGACATCCAGAAGTAGACATTTTAATTTTACCTGGGTTTGGTATAATTTCACATATCATTAGTCAAGAATCAGGTAAAAAGGAAACATTCGGATCTCTCGGAATAATTTACGCTATAATAGCAATTGGGCTTTTAGGTTTTATTGTATGAGCCCACCATATGAGCAAAGCTATTCAGAAAGATTATGGTTCCAAATGCTTCAAGTACCTATAACAGATTTATTCCAATGATTTGACTGCAGATTTCTCTGGATAAAGTCGAACATGTAACTTCGGGAAACGATACTGAGAGTTTGCAACTAATAATATATTCCATATTTTTTTTCCTATTGATGGGATATATATAGAAGCTAAATAAATCTGATTTGGGATGAGTAACTGTTACAA